AACAGCATGAGATCAATCTCATGACCAGCCATCAGTGCCTCGCCCGCAGTCTCCTTGATCTTCAGCTGGGACAGCAACTCCACCTCATCGGCCTCCTTCAACGTGGCCTCAAAGACACCCAAAAGCAGCTTCAATCGCTGATACAGATACTGCCAGGTGCGCGTCTCATGATCCGTCTCCAGGGCACAATCAATGTACAGCAAGTCCCCGGCACGTTCCAAATCGCTGTGCCAGTGATCCAGCTGCTCGGCACTCATGTTGAACACCCGGACAAAGGCCAGCAATTCGCCGGATATGAAATCCGGAGCAGGCAGCACACGTAGCTCGGCCTTGCGATCGATATTCAGCTTTCCAAGAATGCTGGCACGCTGCTCCACCAGCGGATCGGTGGGACTCAGTCCCAGGCGAATCTTCACATAATCCTTGCGGTTGTTCAAGTCCACAAAACTGTCAAGTGCAAATAATATTTATTTAGATTGTTATGTTCTTTCACTCAATTCCTCCAACTCACCCATTGTGCACGAGAAGATCGGCATTGGAACGATCTCCGTAGTAGATAAAGAACTGCTCGCCAGCCTTAAAATCCTCCTGGGCGGTGCAGTCCATCTGCCGTGTGCCGCTGTCATAGAAGGAGGTAATCTTGCCTGGCTTATGATTGGCCATATCCCAATACGGAATCAGGGCCGATATCGGCAGCTGATTCAGCTCCGCCTCATCGATGGCCTGCATTTCCCTGGGCACCAGATTCTGACGAGTCATTACAGTGGAAACGGCCCATCTGAAGGGAAAGAAAAATAGAAATATTATTTATTTTTAACCAAGTTATGCGATTTTTAAAACTATGATTTTTCTTTTTAATTCTCAAAATTGTAGTTATATCGTTTAAGATAATGGTATTATATATTCAGCCGGAAGGTTAAAACTAAGGAGTGAAGGAGTCATTTCCGACCCTATAAATCATAGGCAGTTTTATTAACCTGCTAAAAACTAACATAGAAATGCCTTTCGAATTAAAATTAAGGCATTTTTGGCTTAGTTATGAGATTTTTACATTTTGATTTGTCCAAAAAATATTCATATATAAATATTGTCAATATCGGTTAAAAAATGGTATTGCACCTTCAGTCAGAAGCTTCAAACTAAGTGAAGGAGTCATTTCCGACCCTACAAATCATATATATTCTTGATCAGCATCAACAGGGGAATCTTTCTAGCTTTATCCGGGCGAAAAACAATTTTTTCACAAATTTCTCATTTTTGAAAAAAAGGAAAGGGGTTACATCATTAAAATTTGCAAAAATCGACCAAAAATTCACGTTTTAAATGGAGTATGCAGCTTTGTTAACCTGCTAAAAACTAACATAGGAACGCTTTCCGAATTGAAATTAGTGCATTTTTGGCTTAGTTATGAGATTTTTACATTTTGATTTGACCAAAATATCATCAATTAAACATATAGATAAATACTGATCGGATATTCACTTTTTTGCTTTCCAAAGTTAGCTTGCTTTTTGTATTAAATGATTACTAATTAATTAAATTGCAAATCGGTTTTTAGTTAAACTATATATTCAAATAATTAGTTAGGTAAAGGTGCCTGGTGTAATCCTTATCAAACGCTCTCTCAAGTAATCAGTACCACCTACTCGTCCTTTTTATGCTTTCCCCCTTTTTTTAGTGCTTTTCCTATTTTTGGCTTCTTTTTCTGCGCTTTGCTGCGGTTGCTGCTGTTGCTGCCTGACCACAAAGAAAACTTTTTCATTTAATTGTGCATAAATTTTTCAATTTAATTATGAAAAGCAGCAACTTGTTTGAAGTGGTTAGGAGCGGGGCGTGGGTCTGAAGGGGGATTCGCCACTCACTTTGTTAGAAATCACTATGAACAAGAAGCACCACAAGCAGCAATAGAAAGCTTCAAGTTTTTCACTTTTTCCTCTGTGAGCGATATATATATATATATATTATTTCTGGTTACTGGAATTACCAAAAAATAAACCTCAAGGAAAGTCCAAGCGGGAAAAGTTTTCAACTTTTTGCTCGAAGCCTTTGTATTGGCTGTTATGTCTTTCCGGCATAAAGTTGGCCAGGTTTTTTTTTTTTGTTTTCTATTAAAAGTAATAAGTGCCAGTGTTGGAAAAGCACAAGCATAAGGACCGAAAACAAGGGTGCCAATGGGACTGTACCTTAGCCAAAAGTAATGCCCCTTCTCCACTTATTCACCATTTCGCTTTGTGGCCGTGTTAATGCTTTGTTATTTGAGTTTTTCGTTTAGAAAGTTCAAGAAGGAAACTAATTTAAATAATTAGGAAAATGAAACTACGATCTTTTAAGTTTTTTTGCGGATTTTTCATAGCTAAAGCAAATGATAATAAATTTCAAGGTACACATTAATTAATTGAAAGAATTAGGGAATTTAAAGTGTTGCAGTAGCAACTATTCGTTTTTTGGAAGTATTTCCTGATACTTTTTTATTTACTAAGATTCCCATAGAAGACAATTTAACATTTCTTGCTTAGTTCCTTTATTTTTGACACCTGTCAGGATCAAAAGTGTGATACTTTTGCTAGCTGCAGCTGAGGTAAACTGTACTTGATCTACCTATCGCTGTCGGCTGACATTTATCGATGGCAACAAAATAAAAGAAATGGCAAACTGGTAACTGACAACCCGTTTTTTTTTGAAGGCCAACCAACATCAATGTCGGCTGCCTTTGACAGCCATAAAGGGATGCCAAGCCGTAGCCATCTTGTCGCCGTGTGTGTATGCATCTCACCTGTCAAACCGGAAGTGAGTGCCAGTGTGTGAGTCAGCCAGACGGATTTAATGAACTCTTCGTCTTCTTGGGCTGACACTTTCAAGTGACTCGCATTCCAAACACGCTTCACACACTCTGTGTGACCTGTAAATGGGTGAACTTTTGCCCTGTCATTACATGTCACAAAAATTATAATAATAATATCCTTTTGGAACATTGAGCCTTCGAGTGGATGCCAAAAAATGTCATATGCACAGTGAGAAAATATGAAAACCTATATGAGATTATTGCGGGTGTGTGTTTGCGTGTCATCATTTAATCATGGCTACGGTTCTCTGGCTTAAATCCTTTATTTCTTCTTTTTGTTGAGATATCTGATTTTATATCCTGGACAAGTTGAGACTCTTACGATACAAATCCGATTGCCCTAATGTCTCACGTCTCTTTTATTTCCTTGGGCTGTTGTCTGTCGTCTATCGTCTTTATTATGCATGCATACTCCTAGCCGGGTCCTTGGTCCTGTGTGTCCTCTGTGTCCTGCATTCCTTTGGCAATTCAGCAGGAAAAACCAGCAGAAACTAAGGCCAAATTGAAAATGGGACCAAAAAACACAGGCACAGAGAACGAGGGAAAGAGAAAGAGTTGTCACGGCAAATGACGTGAGAGAAATGCGTGTAATGGTCGGGGGGTTGCATTCTTGAATTTCCTCGATTTTTCCCTACAACTCGATTCGATTTTCCGGGACTTATGCAAGGATTTTGCTTTCTTTTTTGTATTGTTTTGTTTTGCAATTTTTTTGCCATGATTGCCTTTCCCTATTCCTGTATTGTTTCTACATTTGTTTGTAAGAATTTTTCTTGCATGTTCCTTAGGGCATTTCATTAGATAGATTTAGCCTGATTTCTGGATTATCCAGCTACTGGCTTTTCCGGTTAATTATGTCAGCTATCGGAGGATGTATGTTTTGCGGCGTCAAAGGTAAAACCGCAAAGTGCTCTAATGGAAGGATGGCCAATCTGCATTAGTCTGATTAGATCATGATGATGATGATGATGATGATGATGATGATGGGATGCTGGGTTATGGCAGTTAATCAAAGGAAAACATCCTTTACAGGCACACACACACATGTATATATATTATTCATACAGCTGCTTCAGGATATGCACTACCGGGCCTGCATCTTTATCTCTTTATCTTGAAAATTAATTACGTGAAGACAAAAGGATACCGGAAACAGATTCACCCCCCAAGCACTCCCACTATGAATTTAATCCTCCTTCCTTTTGTCTGGCTTTAAGACTTTGAGCCCCCAACACCCCAGGGGAATTCTTATAAAGTTAATTAATATTAAATTAAAAATAATAAACACACAGACTCTGATCAATTCTGGAAAACATTCTCTTATTCCCTGGAACCTTGCTTTTTTCTCCTCAATAAACAACACACATTTGATTAGATGTCAATAATCCAAAATGAGCTCGGTTTTTTTTCAATACACATACACATCTTGGGAAAGTCAATAAGGATTTGGAGAAGAGCTGGCCAAATATTTATAGATTCCATCAATCAGAGTTGGTGGCATCGGCAAAAGGCGGGCTCATCCATCAATATCCCACACACAAGTGTAAAAACATTCAAGAATCTAGCTCAGATACACTTGGGAAATTAAATTTATACTAATGTATAAGATTTCTGAATCGATATTTATATTATTTGAATGCAGAGAGCTTTGCTTTTAATTAAACTGCATAATGGGTTTACCTTTAAACTGTTTTGTTTACCAACTATAAAAATATACATTATAAATATATTTATAATATTTTTATCAAAATGAAAATTTCGAAGGAAATATTCAAATTTAAAATAATCATAACTTAACCAAAAAAGCATTAATTTCAATTCGGAAAGCTATTCTATGTTAGTTTTTAGCAGGTTAACAAAACTGCATACTCCATTTAAAATGTGAATTTTTGGTCGATTTTTGCAAATTTTCATGATGTAACCCCTTTCATATTTCAAAAAAATGGAAAATTTGTGAAAAAATTGTTTTTCGCCCGGATAAAGCTAGAAAGATTCCCCTGTTGATGCTGATCAAGAATATATATGATTTATAGGGTCGTAAATGAGTGCTTCACTTAGTTTTAGGCTTCTGACTGACCCCGAAGCTCTTTAAATTCTATATTGTAAATTGTTTCTCTCAGTGTCTAATAAGCTCTCCTCCTCTCACTCTCTTCCTTGACAGCTCCTTCAGACGGGTGTCTCCCTGATTGTGGACGATGGCAAGGGATCCGGTGATGGCAGCGGAAGCGGAAGTGGAAGTGTAACCGGAACCGGAACCAATCGCCGACGCATTGCCCAGTTGGGAACGCGCAAGCGAAAGCGTCGTCCTCAACTCCCGCTGGCCACCATGGGCGCCAACGAGGAGGACTCGGATACCAATTCCAATTCCGGCTCCGGTTCCGCCTACTGGCGTGGTCATGTGGAGGATGATGCGGATGCCCTGCGCCGGCGAAAGCAACCACTGGTGCGGGAACCCATGGCAGCCCTGGAGCGGGATCGAGAGAAGCATCGCCAGCGAGTGGCAGAGCCCACGGATGCCACGGCCCAGGCCAGCAGCAGCAAAGCCTATCGTCGTCCCTATGGCCAGGCCAAGAGGGAACCGATACCTTCTGTCCTGCCGGAGAGTGGCTTGCCGGTGGCCACCAAGACATCGGTGGATCTGAAGAATATTCTCAAGAATTCCGGTGGCCTGTCCCTAAGCGAGATCCTGCAGCAAAAGAATCTCTCACTGGACGACCTGCTCAAGGGCAAGCAGAATGCTTTGCTGGCTCTACAGACCACAGCCGTGGCACCGGCCTCTACATATTCCTCGCCAGCGGAGAGCTCCTCCTCCTCATCCTCGGCGGTGGTGGGCTACAGAAAGTCACCCATACAGCTGAATAAGCAGGGTGTCCGTCGATTGCCGGCTGCCTACACCACCGCCACCTCGTCCTCCTCCTCTGCCACCAGCAGCTCTGGGAATGAGGAGGAACGGGAGGCCACCAAGAACAAGGCGGGGAAATATCCCAATGCCCTGCAGCGCTTGAAGCTCTTTGGTAGCTCTTCCAGGGAGAGCAGCACCACAAGACGCATTGGTATTGGCAGCTCCAGCCTAAGCCCCACCACCAGTAGCAGCACCACCACAACCACCACCACTCGAGTGCCGCTCTACAAGAAGCGACAGCATCTAAGGTCAACATTGAAGCCACCAGGACTCTTTAAGCCCATTATGAGTACTCCAACCACGACCACGACGATAGCAGCGGCGGCGGCAAGCACCACACAGGAGGCGGAGACCAGCACAGTGTATTCCTCCACAACCACAGCGGCTAGTAGCCAGGAGCAGAGCGAGGAGGAGGAGGTGCAGGAGAAGGAACAGGATCGGGAGCAGGAGCAGGATCAGGAGCCGGCCGAGGAGCAGCAAGAGCAGGATCAGGAGCAAGAGCAGGAACCAGAGCAAACGGAGGAGGCTAACTCGCAGCAGGAGCCAGACGAGGAGCACGAAGAGCAACCGGGTTCTGGGGAAAGCAGTCCTCCAACCGATGCTTCACCAGTTCCATCGTCTGCCCTGCCTCCTGGCAATCCCCGCTATCGCCTGCGCAATTCCAGCATCAAGGATCCGAATCAGAAGCGTCTCAAGGACAACTTTATAGGTCACCACTACGATCACAATGTGGTGGACAGTGTGGAGGAGCTGGATCAGCCAGAGAGTGGACCCAGCTCTACAGTTTCAGCAGCAGGAAAGGAACCGCCTGTGAATAGGAGCAGTGAGCAGGAGATGAACGATGGGGACGATGAGCTGGAGAATTTCTTTGACGAAGTGGAGAGTCATACGCATCATACTAGGGTGCCTGCACCACCTGCTGCTCCACCTGCTGCTTCTCCCACTGCCATTGCAACTGCTCCTGCACCCTCTTCCTCCTTTGAGCCACCATTAGCAGTGGCTCCTTCACCATCATCCTTTCCCATGCCTGGAAAACCGTCACAGCTCAACATCATTGACGATGTGGACGATCGCACTGATCTCCTTGAACTGATCGAGGATCGACGGTCGGGTAATCGCCTATTCAAGGTGTTGGAGCAACGCAATATGACTTTGGAGGAGCTAATCGAGCATAGGAAACGTGGTTCCAGCCAGCTTCATCTATCCACCATTGTGAGTGGCGGCGATGAGCATTCACGGCTGTATCCTGGCCAGAAAGTACTGCTGCAGGACAACATGGACATTGTCACCGCCTTCGAGAACTTCCCACACTTCAATCTGATGGATCTGAAGAGCGTCAAGCCGGACGAGATTAAGACGGATTCGCAGGGATCCAGCTACTTCACCTCCATCATTGACATTGAGCCCAATGATGAGATGATGAAGCCATCGAATGGAAATCGAGGTATAACGGCCTTGCGCCTGCGCCAACAGCGCCAGCGTCAGCAGAGATCCAAGGGGGCGGGAATGGTTATGGCAAAAGCAGTGGCAGTGGCAGGAGAGGAGGAGGCAAGGTCAGGTCGAGATGCGGGTCAACGAGCGGGTCCAAGAGCGGGTCCAAGAGCGGGTCCAGTAGCAGACCCAGGAGCAGGTCGAGGAGCAGGTCAAGGAGTTGGTCCAGGAGCAGTTTAAGGAGAAGATGAAGGAGCGAGTCCAGAAGCAGGTCGGGGAGCAGGTCGAGGAGCAGGTATAGGGGCAGGGCGAGAAGCGGGTCCAGAAGCAGCACCAGGAGCAGGTCGAGAAGCAGATAGGAGCAGCTCCAGAAGCAGGTCCAGGAGCAGGTCCAGGAGCAGCTAGGAGCAGCTCCAGGAGCAGGTCCAGGAGCAAGTTCAGAAGCAGCTAGGAGCAGCTCCAGGAGCAGGTCCAGGAGCAGGTCCAGAAGCAGCTAGAAGCATCTCCAGTAGCAGGTCCAGGAGCTGGTCCAGAAGCAGCTAGGAGCAGCTCTAGGAGCTGGTCCAGAAGCAGCTAGGAGCAGCTCTAGGAGCAGGTCCAGAAGCAGCTAGAAGCAGCTCCAGGAGCAGGTCCAGTAGCAGGTCCAGGAGCAGCTAGGAGCAGCTGCAGTAGCAGGTCCAGGAGCAGGTCCAGAAGCAGCTAGGAGCAGCTCCAGTAGCAGGTCCAGGAGCAGCTAGGTGCAGCTCCAGGAGCAGGTCCAGGAGCAGCTAGGAGCAGCTCCAGTAGCAGGTCCAGGAGCAGCTAGGTGCAGCTCCAGTAGCAGGTCCAGGAGCAGCTAGGTGCAGCTCCAGTAGCAGGTCCAGGAGCAGGTCCAGAAGCAGCTCCAGTAGCAGGTCCAGGAGCAGGTCCAGAAGCAGCTAGAAGCAGCTCCAGGAGCAGGTCCAGTAGCAGGTCCAGGAGCAGCTAGGAGCAGCTCCAGTAGCAGGTCCAGGAGCAGCTAGGAGCAGCTAGGAGCAGCTCCAGTAGCAGGTCCAGGAGCAGGTCCAGAAGCAGCTAGAAGCAGCTCCAGGAGCAGCAGGTCCAGTAGCAGGTCCAGGAGCAGCTAGGAGCAGCTCCAGTAGCAGGTCCAGGAGCAGGTCCAGAAGCAGCTAGGAGCAGCTCCAGTAGCAGGTCCAGGAGCAGCTAGGAGCAGCTAGGAGCAGCTCCAGTAGCAGGTCCAGGAGCAGGTCCAGAAGCAGCTAGAGAGCAGCTCCAGGAGCAGGTCCAGGAGCAGCTAGGAGCAGCTAGGAGCAGCTCCAGAGCAGGTCCAGGAGCAGGCTCCAGTAGCAGGTCCAGGAGCAGGTCCAGAAGCAGCTAGAAGCAGCTCCAGGAGCAGGTCCAGAAGCAGCTAGAAGCAGCTCCAGTAGCAGGTCCAGGAGCAG